TTTTTTTTTAACCAGGACAAGATCATCCAGGCTGAAGGCAGCAACTCGTCCTTGCTTGGTGACATTGAAGCCCTGAGGAAACGTCTCCTGAAGATCCAGGGCAAAGATGAGGAGGTACGCAAAGCTGAGGACCTCTGCCGCACAGTCAGAGAAAAACTGGAAGAAGAGGAAAACCTGACGAAGGAGTTGAAAGCTGAAATTGAACGTCTTCAAAAAAGAATGGCTGAACTGGAGAAACTGGAAGAAGCTTTTGGGAAAAGCAAATCTGATTGCAGCCAACTCTGCTTGAGCCTAAATGAGGAGAAAAACTTGACCAAGAAGCTCTCAACCGAGTTGGAGACTCTCAAAGCCAAATTGAAGGAGATGGAAGGGTCCGAGACAAAGCTGGACAGAGCAGAAAAGGCTTTGACGATGGAATTAGACAAACTTAAGACTTTTACCCAGACCTTTATGAGTGAGCGCAAGAGGCTGCTGGAGAAGCAGCGAGAAGACGAGAAGATCATTTTAAAGTTGACAGAAAAACTGGAGCAACAGAAAAATCGTCTCGGTATGTCAGTAGACCCTTCCCGTGCAGATTTTATGCGGTCACGGATTGAAGACGAGCTGTCGTCGACGGGGCTTCTTTCAAACAAAATGGCTGGACACAAGAAAAACCTCGACTACTTCAAATTCCCTGATGACGGCATCAGTCTTGTGAACAAAACTGAAAATGAGAAGAACAGCATTCTTGAGGGCACACAGCTGGAGGACAACAAAGTGAAAGAGTTGACACTTGAAGTCGAGAAGCTGAAAAACCGTCTGAAACAGTTGGAGATAATGGAGGAAGATCTGAAAACCTCAGAGTTCAAAAATGGAGAGCTAAATGAGAAGGTCCAGAGGGAACAGACTCGGGCTCGCCAACTGAGCGAGCAGGTGGAACAGCTCAGGATGCAGCTAGTTGGGAAAGTTGTTGTTGGAGGAAATGGATCCAGTAACGTGGACAAACACAGCAATGGAAGCAGCAAGGTTGTGGAGAACGGCAAAGGTGAGAGCGAGGAGATTGTGGGGAAGGTGGGCTTCAGACAAGAGAAGCCTAAATACAGGAATCCTGCAACTGCCACTGAACCAGGCTCCCCAAAACACAGAAACAGGGAGCTTTCTCCCCAGCATAAACGTGAAACCAAGCTGAGGAGCAAAGAGCTGAGCCACTGTGAGGAGGGATCTCCAAAGATCGGGAGGAGAGCCCTCAGTCCTGTTACTAAGAGGAGGACACCCAAAATTCCAGCAGATAACGGTATAAGAGACACGGGACGAGGAGCTGAGGATAGAATGCGAGGAACCTCCCTTAGCTCCGTCAACGCACCTTCTAGTGATGCTAAAAAGATGTCTGTTCTCAGTCGCTATCCTCCAGCTGCTAACGACCAGAAGCCTCTAAGGATGACCCATAAACAGACTGATGGGGAGGCAAAGAAGAACAGGGTGGAGACGTTCTCTAAACTGTATGTTGGTAGTGATAGCGAATCAAACAATTCTGACGTAACACCTGATGTCTGCAGCAGCATGAACAGCATTTCTGTACAAGACAAAGAAACAGATCAGGAATCTTCAGACCAGGTTCCAGAATCTGTCTCCGTCGCCTCCTTTCTCCCCAAAGCCAACGGAGCTTACTCATCATACAGATCTCCAATCACACCTCTGCAAGCAAATGACCAGGGATCAGAGGGTCACTCTTCTGCATCAGAAACAGAATCTACTGGCTCAAGACCGTCGGAACCTGAGCCTGTGCCAGAGACAACACCTCCAACCATAAGCAGCAGGACCTCAACCTCCAGATATTCCAGATACTCCCATGTCCATGACTCGCATTCAGAAGGCTCGTCCTCCAGGAGTTCATTTGATGAGGATCTCCACAGCAGAACACCATTAGCAGACGGGGCGCCCACACACACTGCTTCAGGGATTGAAATCCAGCGAATGTGTAGCCCGCGTGAGGCGCTGAGGTCGAGGGCTGTCATCAAACCGGCCATTGTGGAGATTGACAGGAAGGAAATGATGATCTCAGAACCTCTGTCAACCAACGGCAAACCCAAAATCTCCACTAAACCAGTTGTGACCATGAGCAAGATGACCAGTAGCATCACCATTTACCCCAACGACCCGTGCTCTTCTAGAACCAGCAGCCGCAGCAGCAGTGTGTGCAGTGAACCCATGCCTGCCAGAGAGCGCCACACCTCCACCAGTAACATCCTCATTGGTGAGTGGTTACAAATCACAAGTCATTCACTTCAGTTAACGCCTAACCAGCGTGGGACGTTCTGTATTCGCTCAAACGTTACTATTGTGGATCTTGGTTTTGATTCGACTTAATGACATCATGAGGTAGATTTTAGTTAAATGACTAAGAAAATGAAAATGTACTTATTTTGACTCGATAAATCAGCGTAACATGTGAGTCCTTCTGGTTGTGTCGTGTCTCTACTCACTGCATTAACCAAACAGCAAATTCATATAAGGCATTCTGGATTTGATTTGATTTTACTGAGACTATAAAAAGTGAAATGTTGACTTTATAATCTGCACAGAGCTCTGCGTAGCTGTGGTTGAGTAAATGCTACATAAAAATACCGTCCTGTTAGTGTTTGGTGGCGCAGGTCATTTTCCGACCATGGGGTCGGGTTTCGATTCCCAGCAGTGCAGATGAGTTAATGAAGCTACATAGAAGTGGTTATGGGTAAAATTGTGTTGGT